GCATTGTTAAAGCGCAGAAGAAGCTTCAACAGAAACTCAGTGATGCAACCCTAGAGCGGAAGAAGATGGAAAATGAGGTACAACAGCTATTTCTCCCCTCTTAATCAAAGAATAATGGCATTGTTGGGTATTCATATAATTTTGAACCTTCTAGGTAAAGCGCATGGAGATGGAACAAAAAGATTGTTCCCTTAGAGTTGATAAATTACTTGAGAAACATGGATGGATTGCTAGTGAGAAACAGCTATTTGGGAAAAATGGAACAGATTATGATTTTTCATCCTGTGACCCTTATAAGTCAAGGCAAGAACTGGAAAAGCTTCAAGCCGAACAGTCAGGGTGTGTTACTTCACTGTTAATAACCTGTTAGTTATGACTTTTCTTTCCATGATTCCTGACGTGATGAGTTTGAATACTTGAAGCTTGATTGGTAGTGTCTTTGCTTTTTATTTATTAACTGTTGACTTTTGGTACTTGTAGACTTGAGAAGAGAGTCAACAAAAAAGCCATGGCCATGTTCGAAAAAGCAGAAGAAGAATACAATGATTTGATTTCCAAAAAGAACATCATTGAGGCATGTTTTTCAGAATGACAAGTCAAAAATCAAAAAGGTGATTGAAGAATTAGATGAAAAGAAGAAGGAGACTCTGAAAGTGACATGGGTCAAAGTGAACAAGTGAGTGGAAAGGCGCCAACTATAAAAGCTAATACTTTTTTCAGCTTAATACTAGTTCTTTGATGCTGTAAGACTATTATATTGCATCTAGTTTTCGCTGACAGCATATGCTTTGCAGTTTCAGGAGATACATCTTATATCTCACCCGACTTGAATAATTTCAGGGACTTTGGATCTATCTTTAGTACCCTTTTACCGGGTACAATGGCTAAGCTTGAACCACCTGAAGGGTGCACCTTTTTAGATGGACTTGAGGTTCGTGTTGCATTTGGAACTGTTTGGAAGCAGTCACTATCTGAACTTAGTGGAGGACAACGATCTCTTCTCGCATTGTCGCTCATTCTCGCACTGCTTCTCTTTAAACCTGCACCACTTTATATACTCGATGAGGTGCTCTCGTATATTCTCTTTGTTACTGAAATCAGCTACATGATCTTTATGATTCATTACCTGATTTATATAAGTTCTTGTAACTCTAATCTGTTTCTCATTGTTGCTCATAAGAAGTCAGATGATGTCATTGTTCCTACATATAACTACTAAGTCCTTTTATTAATTTGCATTTGTAAAATCGAAACTGCCATCGAGGTTTTTACGTTATTTTCTGTCGCAGGTTGATGCTGCCCTTGATCTCAGCCATACACAAAATATTGGAAGAATGATCAAAGCTCATTTCCCACATTCTCAGGTTTACTTTAGTCCTATTTGCTTGCTGGAATTACACCTATCTGAATTTTGTCATCTACATTTTATTCAGAGTCGAGTGCGTAGCCATTGTCTCTCTACTGTGAAACATCTGATATGGATTTAAATATTTCCCTCAACTTTTAAAGTGAAATTCATTTTGATCTTTGAGAAGGAATCTTCATAAAATCTTCCTTTTTGTAGAAATCATGGAAAAGTTATACTTATGCTAAAAAAATATATGGCACTTGTCAGTAAGTCAGCATTTGTCCTTTTTAAGATGACTCGGACTGTCCTGGAATGTGTTTGATTTGCATATAGAAAGTATATATTGATAATAATTTGTTCTTTTGTTCCTATCGTCTTTGACCTTGACATTGCTCAGGTTTCAATATCTTGTTAGATCATATATCTACTTCCTACTCTAACAATAGAGGAGTTTGCATTTTGAAAATTCATCGTCTTAAGTCATAGAATGTTTATAATGTGCAGTTCATCGTAGTTTCTCTGAAAGAGGGAATGTTCAACAATGCCAATGTCTTGTATCGGACGAAATTTGTTGATGGAGTTTCCACAGTTACAAGAACAGTGGCATCTAAGCAGAAATAGTTCTCTGAGGATTGTGTTGTTCCTTTCCTGGTAAGTAGCCAACTATTTACTGGTTTTTTTTTAGCTGGAGTTACAAGATTTTAATTTGAGTACACTTATTGACTCTGTTATGTTTTATTGAATATTTTAAAATTTTGTTGTTCATAATGTTCTGCAGCATCTTGGAATGCCAATTTTCATTATAATAAAGAAATGCGAAATACAAAGTGCAAAAGGGATCATAGTAGAAATATATTACTTAGCATACAAGAAATTTTTTGATATCATGCCATCAACTTCATTTCCTTTGCTGGAAAATGAGTTTTGTCAAGACACAAAATATAATACTTATACTATGCGAGTCAAAAACATCTCCCTACAAACTCCTTCAGTATATCAGTAGAGAATATTACGCGTCATGGAAACTTCAGCCCCTTCACTATAGTTCACCTGGAGCAAGTGTAAGTTAATTATTTTTATGCTCTTCTGTAGCTGCTGCTGCTGCATTCTTTTTATGCTTCTTTCATTTTATGAAGCAGGTGTGGATAATAAGTACAGGTATTTGAATCTGTAGCTTGGTTTATCGCTTTTCCCTCAGCCTCCTTGTTCAGAGCTTGATAAATTTCTTATTTGGCCTCAAATTTTTGTCTAAGGCATAAATTTTATTGGATGATATGCTGATGATGCGTTTGCTAATCTTAATCCACTAACAGTGCTCCGAAATGAAGGACGCCGAGGATGTTTATTGCTTCCGGTAACGTCATTACTCCAGGCGTGAAGATAACAGCATGTGTTTATTTGTAATATTATTTTCTTTTTCCTCATTGAATACTGTTTTATCTGATGTATTATTACAGAGTGAAAATATGTAAGCCTTTTGCTTAGACACAACAGTTGATGTACGACAAATCCTAAAATCTCAACTTTTTACAAGGCCTATCTTTTCATTCTAGAGTAAAAGTTGTTGAAGAAAATCCTGTAATCAACTTTTAGTAACACTAAAGCGTTATATTGTTCCGACGCCAAATTTCTCTACAAATTCTACAGCATCCATAAGGCTTTTTATGTACATACTCCCTACGTGTACCTTATTTGCAGATTTACTCAAAACTAACTATTTGCTAATTTTGCGTTATGTTGTTCCAACTCCAAATTTCTCTGCAAACTTTACTATATTCGTAAGGCTTTTTATGTATGTACTCCCTACATATACTTGCAGATTTACTCCTCAAAACTAACTATTTGCTAAATTTCCCTCATGTTCCTTGTCACTAGATTAAAATACCTCTCATTACCGCGTTTTTAGTTTTTTTAACAGATGACAATAAATTGACAAATGATAACTTGGTCACATCATCTCTTGTTCCCTTCTTCATCACCCCCCCACCCCCCCCCCCCCCCCACCCCCAAAAAATAACCCCATTTAACTAAGAATTTGGGAATATTGTCATTTACCAGGTTTGGAAGCCCGTTGGGTTGATGTAAGCCCTGAGATTCAAAGAGGGCGACTTCTTGTTTAGTCCAATTCATAGCCAAAATTGCTAGTTGTTGTTGCTCACCTCACTTGACTAAATATATAAAGCCATCTACATTCTCACACCACCGATGTGGGACTATACCGTTATAAGGTATAACAATCACCCCTCCCTAAATAGGAGGCATCTTCTTGTGAGGTAACACTTAGTGCAACACTTCGTTTGCTTCAATTTACCGCCAAAAATGATAACTATTGTTGCTATTTGCCTCCCTTGACTACCTATATAAACCCATCTATATTTCCATAACCTGTGGGATTATACCATTTTAGGTATCACAAATATGCTCGAAATACTAACAAATCAACCGTAATGAACGCATGGGCAAGTTAGCAAGTAGCTAGATATGGAAAATCTACAGATAGGATAGATTTGGGGAGGATATAGCTAAGGCAACCCTATTCATAAATCAATGATCCAAGCAATAACCAATTTAATATCTCCTATTCAAAATTAATAGATAATTAAGGGTCTTCGAGATATTGGTTTCACAAATCTCATGTATTCTGGAATGAGTCATCAAATCTTGATATTATGAAACAAGTCTGCCAAAATCCATTGTTAGTATCCAGGAACTTGATTCTCTTCTTATTGTTGTTTTTGGAAGTGCAATCTTCTTCCACTTTATCATATTTTAGAGCCTAATTATCACACCAAATAGCCATGTTTGAATTCATGCTAATGGGGTTGTCTGAACATGTGTAGATTGTTTCATGACATTTTTCCAAATTACTTCAGAATATACACAATCCAAAGTAAATATGTATGTAACACCTGTTCATGATTATTTCCCTTTCAGCCATACAAGTATACCATACTTAGCCGACTACATATTCACACATGATATTTCCTCTGCTGCAAATTTCCAAAGCTTCTTCTACCCAAGGATCATATCAGGCACAAGTCAGATACTTGCAGAGACATAGGATCGAGGGAATGGAATCGTATCCTTAATGTCATCAAGTCCTGTTACAAACATAACAACATTCTCAAATCCGACACTGAAACCTGAGTGCTTGACTGTGCCATGTCTTCTTATGTCCAAATACCAGTCATATTGTTCTCGGGGTAAACCTAGCTCCCCCACCCTGCAAACATTTTCGCAACTCCAAATATGTCATTATAAGCAGTTTTCAAATATCTTCTTAGCAAGATAAATTTTTTTTTGGTTGCACACAATTTAAAAATTGCAATATCAATATGACCTGGTGCTGATCTTATCGATGTTCTCCTCCTTTTGGCTTCCCCTTACCAATACTCCAACCTGTAAATGAAAACAATTAAGTGTAATATTCCTAAGTAATTGACAACAAAGAGGAAAAATAAATGTGCTTGTAGGAATGACTTGTATAATAGGTTTGCTTTCTTACTCTAGGTGCAATAATGTCAAAAGCAGAACAAGTTTTGCCATCCTCTTTCACATGCACATAAAATGGCTTGACTTCTTTTGGGTAATCATATATAATAACTGGTTGTTTGTAGACTTCATCAGCTAAATAACTGTTACATACAAACTTATAGGGTTAAATAAAGCCAAATTGAGGAAATAAAGGCATTGATATAGAGAGATACCTTTCATGTTCCTCTGATAAATTGATACCCCATTCAATATTTTGTTGGAATGTTTTTTCTGTGACCTATGAATCCAAAATAACATTTTTATTATTTCGGCTAACTTGGGGTATCAGAATTATCAACAAAATGAAATTTGCAGTTACCTTGTTCAGGAGCTCCACAGCTTCTGTATAGGTAATTCTTGCAAAAGCGTTTGATCCTATAGATTGAATACGATCGATACAGTCCTTATCTATTCGTTTTGCTATGAATTTCATATCATCAGAACAGTCATTCAAAACTGCATAAATGATGAATTTCAGAAAATCCTCTGCACAGTTCATTGCATCCTGGAAACATCATTACAAAGAGAAATATACTCACTAAGCATATCAAACAAGATAAAAGTTAATGAGAAGAATGAGTTAGCCCTTTGTAATCATAATTATTGGCAAAACATAAAACTAACCTCTAACTCTGCAAAAGCCAGTTCAACCTCAACCATCCACATCTCTGCCAATTGCTTCATAGATTGCGATTTCTCTGCTCTAAATATCGGTCCAAAAGTATAAACACTGCTCAGAGCGCACGCGTAACTCTCAAGGTAAAGTCCAGCAGACACCGAGAGATATGCTGGCCTCGAAAAGAAATCTTTAACATGATTCAATTCTGTTTTATTAATTTTACTCTCACTCTGTTTTCCTTCAATTTGTAGGGCCAACTCATTTGCCTTCTGAAGATCCAAAAGCGCTGCAAGAAGAACTTCTCTATTGCTCTCACTTCTCTTTAGTTCTTCAATGTTATTGCTTTTCTCCTTGATTGAAGACTTGATTACTTCAAGGCTTAAATTTTCTCGATCATTTGTGGGATTTAAGTTTGTCGCATCTTCTGTTTTGTTTAGAAGAGTTGTTACCTGAAACATATTGCTTGAAGCTCCAATATCAGTAGTTGTGATAACGGGCATGTGCACGTAAATGAACCCGTTGTTATGGAAGAATGTGTGAGTGGCATAAGTTAGAGTGTTTCTGATGCGAGTTATAGACGCTACCTGCAAAATTCTTCAACTTTCAGATATATATTTTTACACACAGATACACAGATTTAATCAATAATAAAAACAGTAAGCAGATCAACTTACGGTAGTTGTTCTTGGTCGAAGGTGAGAATAAGCTTTTAGAGACTCCAAACTTATCCTCGTCTTTGCAAGCGGGTATTTTTTGAGATCGACAACTCCAACGTGTATAATTTTTTCTGCCTTGAGCTCAATTTTGTGCTTTCCTTGAATAAGCGGTTGCTCCAAAACACCTTCTACCAAAATTGAAGTCCCAGTTGACATCACCTCGCTAAGGAGGGACATAGATGAGTCTATTACTACCTGGGAAAAAATGGAAAACAAATTCAATTCAGAAACTTCTGAATATGAAATTAAGCATTGCCAGTTTAATATGTATCTTAATCGACCCATGCTATAGTTAATTACATTTATAATTTTTCTAAGAATACATTAAGCAGCAAAATACGTGTTATGATTCAATGAGAGTATCTATAAACATCAAAGTGTCCTATCGTACTAGTACATACAAGTATACATTCCAAAAAGAACAATTTTTCAAAACCGACTGAATTTTTTTTTTTTTTTTCAAAACCGACTGTTTTTTTTTTTATTTATCAAAATCGACCCGGTTTTGTGATTAAAAAAAAAAAAAACAGTCGGTTTTGAAAAAAAAAAAAAAAAATCAGTCCGTTTTGAAAAATTGTTCTTCCAAAAAAATAAATGTCTATTTTAACAAATATACATCTTGAAGTACTTCAAAAATACCCGTTTCTCCTAGACCATTCTAAGAATGATATTTAAATTACATCAGAAACTGAAGTGAGACCTGTGATGATTTGAGAAGGAAAAGGAAGAAAAAAAAAAAAGAAAAGAAAAGAAAAGAAAAAACAACAATAGAAGAGGGAAATGCTACATGGAAAATATAGCCACCCTATATTAAGAAATTAAAAAAAAAGCAAGAAGAAAGTTTTCTCGTGTATGCCTAGACATATTTTCCTTTCTAACCCATTTCAAAACTCGGAGCATATCTTCCCAAAAATTTAAAAGTTAAAGGGGAAAAAAAACCACAAGCATCGAGAAATCGAACTCAGAAAACCTGAAGGTTGTCCACGCAGGACCCATCATTAATCTTCAACAAAACAACACAAGGCCGATGATCCTCCTCCTTCCTCTCAACCTCTCCATCTCTACCCAAAATCAATCTCCCAACGCTTCGAAGCATCCGAATCCTCGCCAAAATAGCCTCGCAACAACCCACATTGCTCCTCGTTTCATCCCCCACTTCAAAAGAACCCACTTTGCTCCCTTGATCTTTCTTCATCTTCTTCTCTCTCTTTGATTTCACCCATCCACCCACGACCACTCTCTGCCCAACCAGGCCCAGCCCTTTGTCGCCGCGACTAAGGATGGATTTTAACACCACACGTTTCGAGTACTTGAAGTTTTCGATGGGGATTGTGGTTGTTTGGTTTTGTTCAGAAGACATTTTTGATGTTGGAGCTTGTGTATGGTACTTTGAGTTTAGCATGGTTATATAAAGAGAGGGGGTTATGAAGAGAAGGGGGATGCTTTGCTTTGAGAAACTTTAGAGGGGAAGCTAAGGATGCTTTGTTTTTTGCGATGAGGGTTTTTGATTGCCGAAAGGAGAGGAGAGAAGGGAAGGCAAGGAAGGAAGGAGGGTGTTCGCGGGTTTCCCCGGGAAAAATTTGAGGGAAGGGGACAATTGTTGCAAGGCCCTTGTTTGTGTAAATTATGTTTTTTCCTATGATATGGGAAGATAGAATTTACTTTTGAAATATTTTTAAGGGTGCCGTTGGGCTAATGAAAAACTTTCCAACGGGTAGGAATAGGATCCATGGAATCCTTGAGGAGTTGGTGCCCAGCGAGCAAACACTTTTGGACTAGTACAGTTATTTTTAAAATATTTTCTGTTCAGAAGCAAATTAAGATTTTATGGGGACAACCCATAGGATGGTGTTACCTATATCATTCACGAAGAACCTAAGATGGTTGATAGTCAGTTTTTTAATAAAATAATTAATTGATCATTTCCCAAAATAAATCTAAAAATGGTTTTGTTGACAATTAACAAACCCCCACGAACCTCAAACTTTTCTCATTAAACCCCCTATCCGTAACTTGCAAATAACTAAAATAATTTCTAGAGAAAAATTCCAAACTTAATTATTTGACATTTATAGTCAGTGATCCACCTCTCAATTGAGAAGTTTTTTCTCAAAAGAAAATTTTAGTTATTTGCAAATTACATATAGAGTCTAGCGAGAAAAGTCCAAAATTCAAGGGCTTATGAAAGAGAAAATGTTATGTATAAGACCCTAAAGCTAAGGGTTTCTTTGGTGAGATTATGTGCCTGTTCGTTTGCGTAGAAGAAGATATGAAATAGCTGAAGTAAAAGTAAAGACACTTTTGAGCAAATACAAATTTGTTTCTCTTAACGTACTTCTAATACCTCTTTATATAACCCTTTTTCTTGTGTCAGGTTTGGATATAAAAGAGGGTGAAGGAGGGGAATGATTATAGTAATCCCAAAGGGAGGACGCAAAAAGGGAGTGTGATATAACTAATTACGTTTGCATAGACAACTAGGAGAAGAGAGATGCACTATGATTTGTGTTTGTTTAAGGTAGGGAATAAGAAGCAAGGGAAACAACATGACAAATATGACTTACGAATAGGGGGAAACTTTGAATTTTAAGAAAATATCACTTAAATCTCAATCCCTCACTTTCTGATCCGTCCACTTATGGAGGGTTAGAAAAGTGAGCAAATTTGCTTCTTTTTAACCCTCCCAACCTTTTCTTTCAATTACCAAAAAGTGTAAATAAACATGTTATCTTGGGTGGTTAGCATTGCTGTCAAGCCCTGATAGCGCAGCGAAAATTCATAAATACGGGTTACGCGACAGCAACGACCCGTACACGAGACAAGTCTTATGCACGAGTCAAGCCTGATATTTCATATCACATAGTTTACCTCAAAATATTTATAAACATGCTGATGATAGAAGTTCAGAGCAAAACTCTCTCTCTCTCTCTCTCTCTCTATATATATAATATATATATATATATATATATTTATATTATATATATATATATATATATATATTATAATATATATATATATATATATATATTATACACATATATATTATATATCATTATATATATAATATATATATATATATTATATATATATATATATATATATATACATTATATATTATATATATATATATATATATACATATATAATATATATATATATATATACATATATATATATATATATATATATATATATATATATATATATATATATATATATATATATATATAATCGGTACTTACAACCCACAAGCTCATCGTTATAAAGCATTTTACAAAATAAAACACACTGTTGACTGTATGTAACATCAAAAAAGGAGGCTTTCCATATAACGCCTCTCAGCAAAATGCCATAACCAAAAGTTCAGCTAGTATGAAGCTACACCAGGTCTAAAAAATTTAAAAACAACGTGGTGAGCTAGAGCTCAGTGAGAACATTTCTCGCTAGAGTTCCTAGATAACTAACAAAATAACAATAAGAATAATTTCCATAACTAACAAATTATAAGTCTTGCACCAGAAATTCATAACTAGCAAAATACGATCCAAATATCATAATATTGTCATCTTCAAGAAAGAATGCAACAACTATATTTTCTTTCTTATGTGCAATTGAATATACTATGATATTTTCTAGAATCAACCCTTTTTAAATCAGGGTCAACATTAAGAAATACTAATTTGTACAAAACCAGAGAATTATTATTTTCTCAATTTCACTGTTAATTATCAAAATCATAATTCTCGATGAGTTATTCATGAATGTGAAAGCTACAAGAAATTTGCGTCCCTGAAGATGCATACACAACATCTTCATTCCCTAACACTACAAAAAGAGCAAACCCAACAATCAATTTCATCATACTCAAACCCACAAAAAAACAAAAAGAAAAAGAAAACGAAAAATAAGGTAACATGCTTTGAAACAGAGAGAGGAGACTGGTTCTTTAGCGATGTTGATGGTAAAGATGACATCTTTGCATCGGAGATCGAACAAGCAGATGCGGCCATCCTCGACGGCGGAGGCCATGATGCCGGGGCGAGAGCGGGCGACCGATGTAGAGGGTGGAGGTGCCAGAGGGAGCGGATTCTTGGGAGATTAGGTTTTGAGATGAGGGATTTGAGGGGATGAAGACGACCATGATGAGATGAAGGATTTGAGGTGGATTCTTAGGAGTCTGAGATGAGGGATTTGAGAGATTGGGGGGAAATTTTAGGGGGTTTGAGGAGGAGGGGGGTGGGGGGTTA